GGCTGGAAGGATCTCCTCTGGCTCTCCCGACGGGATGGGGCCGTCCCCCTGCAGCCGGAGCCGCGCAGGGAGGCAGCTGTTCGGCGGGGAGAGCAGATGTCCCTGCCGCCGGGACGCAGATGGAGGGGAGGGGGAAAAGGGCCGTCAGCTGTTGGACTGCCGCCCTCTTGCCCCGCCGTGGGAAATCCAATGCGAAACTTCAGGGACCCCATCCCCCAGATGAGGGGGTTTCATCTCTTCTTTTTCTGAATTTCAAGGCTTTTGCTAAAAAAAAAAAGCTGTTACCAGACTATGCGGCACCGTGGCATCTACGATGTCCACTTAATATTGCTGGCTTTTTTACTTCCCACCCCTTGAACTAAAGCCTCCCTGCTGCAGACACCGCAGTTTTAAGTTCAGATGCTGCTTGCTTATGCTAAGGGAGTTGCACAGAACACCCTCTCGCACAGGAGCGCTATTAATTTTGGTAAATGCCAAGCCCGTTCACGTATGTTTCTGCTCTGGATTGAATGATTACAGGGGCTGTTTCCATCAGGACAGAGGACGAGACCCTGGTACCTTCTTGCTCTACATGGTTGCTCCTCTGCTCTCACTCTCCTGCCAAAAAATGCTCTTTTAATCTCTGTTTTTTCTCTGACTTTGGCTTTTATTTTTTTCTTTTTACACGCTCATGGCCAGCATTACCCAAAAGGATACGAGGTCTCTTTGCGCTTGTGTCCTGCGAGGTCCCCCCTGCCCACGCTGCTCCGGCACTTGTGCCGGGGTGGTGCCTCCCTGTGCCTGATCCTGAACAGGAGCTTCATTGTCCTTCCCGCTGCCCCGGACAAAGGGGTATTGTCCTGCCCACCAGCTCCAGCCGGCCGCCCCACAGCAAGGAGCCAGTTCATCCCAACCAGAGACGCTGCAGCATTTTCAAGAATAAAAGCAGGATGTTTCTTTTCTGTTAATAATGTGCTCAGGAATCGATCTGGCTTCTCATCTGTCTTGGTTGAGGATGGGGAGCTGAGTGTCGGTGATAAAACCTCCGGTGGGGTGGTCCTAACCCACCCAAAATGCTTCTGGGTCAGCTGCGAGCTCCCTGCACCCCCATATGTCTTTCAACACATGGGCCAGTCTTCTGAAAAACTCCTAGGGGATTACCACAGGGCTAAAGAGAATCTGCATATTTAATATAACTTACCAAAAGAATTACTCAGAGTAAAATTGTTTGATGATAAACAATTTTTTTTAGAATTAAGGTACTCCTTGGGAGCTTCCGGGTGGTTCAGAGCAGAAATGGGGAGAATTCAGATGATGGTACAATTTCTAGCTGAACGATGGAGCGTATTTCAAAATGCAAACAGGGATGCGGCTCCCCCTGAGCCCTCCGGGGATGCGCATCCTGCTCCAGAATAACATACACTGCTTTGGTGAATTTGTACCTTTTTCTCCTTATGGCGCTTAAAAAATGGGAGCACTGAATCTTAACGTTGCAAAAGGGCTTTGTCCCCGGCACCTCGTCCTTTTATCAAAGACCGGGTGACGCCAATATTCTTTTTTTCATCAGTAATATCGCAAAGAGGCAGAAAGTGCAAAATAAGCTCATCCCAGAGCAGACATGATGATGCCAGGATAGGCTGTTTAGGTGGCTGGATTAAGACATTTTGGGTTTTATATTAATGCCACCGACTTAAAAGGTGTAATATTGTAACTAAGTCAGCGAACTGCACATAGGCAATAGAAGAAAGAGTAAGCAAAACAGCAAAAGTGAAATATTAGCAACTTTTACTATAACTGGGATTTATTTTCTGCTTAACTATGGCACCAGGGGAAAACTTACAAGCCCAGTGTCAGGAATATGAGGTAGTGGGGAAAAGAAATAATTTTAACACCTAAATTATGGATCTAAACAGACTTTCCAGGTGATTTTTCAAAATTAACCCGTGGCTCATTCTTGGCAGGGGCCACGCACTGACGAGTTGTGACAGCGTGGCCGGTTAACGAGATTGCCCACGGGGTTGGGGGGGGTGGGGGAGCCGGTGAGCTGCAGGAGGGGCTTGGAGGTTTTCCTCGAGGTGAATTTTTTAACCATTTCCAAGGCATACTGCAATTGAAAACATTCGCCTGGAAAACGTCAAGTTCTTCGCCGGAAGCGGCCTGGGAGCGTTCGGGTGATGACCCCCAGTGGGTTTTTGCTCTTGTCGCCTCATGTTTCCTCGGGGGCTACTAAAAGCTGGGAAATTACGAGTTTTAGCGGGACGTGAGGTGTTTGAGGAGCCGTGTTTCCCCCCCCGAAAGCGCTCTGCAGCCCTTCTTACGGCTCGCTCCTGAAGGCACTTGCTGCAGGCAGAGGAGAGTTGAGGCGACGCCTAAGTTTAAGATCTCCGTTTCCTCACCTAGCTTTCTGTGTATTTTTTTTCCTCCCCTTTTATAGCCGGGTTTTCCCCCTCTCGCAGACGCGGCGGCTTTTTGCAGGGCGGGAAGCAGCAGGAGGAACCGGGGTGGGTGGCGGCCAGGCCCTGCTCGCTTACCTCCCCGTCCTCAGTCCCGGCGGGGCCCGCTCCTGCGGCGGGGCGGGCGGCCTCACCG